ATCCCGAAAATTGCATCGTCCCACGGGGATGAAAACGAGACTCCCCTAATCCCTGGATATGTTCGCATCGGCACCGGCTGATCCGCGCGAAACCCTAGAATCAGCACCCTGCATGTCCGCAATCCCCAAAATCCGGAGTCCTCGAAACGGGAATAAATATTTGCCGGAATTACGCTTATGAGGCCTATATATCCAAAACAATCATTAATCGGGAGGATTTCCCGAGCGGGGAGACTTACTCTACATTTTAATAAAGGCAATTTCAGCCCGAAGTGCTAACTCCAAACTAATCTACTCATCATATGTGGCTAGGCCACCACAACATAACATTGTGAACAGGACTCGAATAGTCCATGACATACTATATTGATAAACAATTATAACCTATAAAGTAGTATATTCTATGGCTTGAGGGATCCACAGCACTGCACATCATATCATATCAGATAAGCAGATCCGCCGTTTTTCAACACCCAGTCCGGGAATGATCACTGCTACTGACTATCTTAGCTCGCCGACAAATTTAAGGGACAACGGTTGTCCAAAAGAATTAGTCTGGCTTAAAAGTATTGGTGAATGGAGATTAGAATGGGGAGAGTGACCCAGACCCGACGATCCTAATTCACTGATAATTGTGGCACACGGAAGATGCGGTGAGATTAGCGTGGGATCGGCAGGAGGTTATCCGTTTCCATCACTTACAATGTAGAATTGATGGAGATTAGATTGTTGATGCATGAGTCAGTTTCACTTTCTGATGTGCCTGTCTGATTGATACTGCAGCTCAGGTTCTGTTGGGGTGGAGTTTGGTGTTGAATGCGACGGTGTAGCAGGGGTATGATCAGTGTACTGTACTGTCATATTCCGCTGTTGGCTGTTCAATCTTAGGACACTTTCTGGAGGTTTCTTCGACCCAAGCAGGTGAGTAGAGGGGAGAAAAGGACTGGTACAAGATGAGAGGTGGCTACAGCCATATTCTTTGGCTATCATAATCGTTCGAATAGGTGCGAAGTCACTTCGCTGATAGCACGTTTAGGCCTGCATGCATAATGGATCTAGCCGCTATTTCAGTGTTACTTTATATTTCACGAAGTCGCATACTTCCATCATAGCTAATGCATGTGATGCCATTCACACATCCTAACAACCAGTGATGGGATACATGAATATAGTGAAGGCTGGTTTAGTGACTAATTGTGTGTTCAGTGAGGTTTCAATCTGTTACTGTCAGCAATCTCGCGTTCTTATTGCATAGTAGAAAAGTGATTCATCTGGTGAAGCATGAAAGCACGGCAAGTTCCGGCTGCACTTATTCGTTTGTATTCACCACTCGTTTGCTTTCACTGACCTCCCGACTTTCTTCTCACCTCTACTAAGGGAAACTTCCCCTCTTCTCCTCTCATTTTTATCCTCGTTCTCATTCCAGCCCTCGTCCACTGAGAAATTCAGCCATCGCATAACAAGTCACACCGACCTCATACCTTGACCTAATCCGACTGACAAGATGGAAACCCATGACACCTCACGCGTGCCTAAATACATGGAATACCTGGAGGAACAGAAGCGAATTCTGAAGGATGCCCAATCTCGCAAGGGCCAGCCAGTCAAACTGACAAAGTCCCGCGAGGAGATAATAAACCGGTTTATTCATCGCTACTTGGCGGAGACTACCACACCCGTGGACAAGAATGCTATACGCACGTCATTTGTCCCTCCTGCATACCCACCCTCCATTGTGGCTTTGGGAGATCTGAAGAAGATTCTCATCAAGGATCTTACCATCGAGACTCATCATCGTGGCTCTTACATCATCTTGAGAGCAGTGACTCCTGCGTTTAGGAAGACAGGAATCGTGACCGTGGTGGAAGATGAAGACGGCGACGTTCTTGCATTGCAGCTGTATAACCAGGATAGGGATCTCGTAACTGATGGGCGGCTCGTTGATGGGACTATCGTGCTTATAAAAGAGCCTTATCTGAAAGTCATGGGCGATGGGGACTGTGGGCTGCGGGTCGACCATCTTTCTGATATCAAATTCATCCTGGAGGATGATTCTAAGGTGCCCACAATCTGGAGAGACGAGACAGAAGATAATAGTTCTGCCAGCTCTTGGAAAGCAATGGGAAATGACTTCTACAACGATAACAATTTTCAACTTGCTATAAACTGGTACCTGTTAACCTGACCTTCACAATACCTATAAGAAACGCTAACCAATATGCAGTTATTCCAAGGCTCTAAGTCGTTCCACTACTGCCAAGGTAGGACTTACTATAAGGCTTAACCGTGCTCAGGCGTTCCTCAAAACCCATCAGTTCGACGCGGCCCTGCGTGATGTCGAGCACATCCTATCCAAGGATAAATCTGCTGAGAAAGCGCTTTTCCGTAAAGCCCAAGCCCTTTACTATCTCCAGAGATTTCGGGAGTGCTGTGATATCTACGTAGACCTTTGCAAGGCCTATCCAAACAACGCCACCGCTAAATCCGAGTTTTCTCGCGCCGCAGCACGACTCGCGGAGCAGCAGACTGGCAAGTATCGATTCAAGGAAATGCAGGAAAAGGGAACGAAACTCAGACCACCACATTTGGATCATGCAACATATGTTGGCCCTGTTGAGGTGAGGCCCTCGACCTATGGACGTGGTTTATTTACAACGAAGGTGGTCCGTGCCGGTGATCTACTTCTTTGTGAAAAAGCCTTTGCGTATGCTTTCCATGAAGAAGGTGATATGACCAATGTTTCGATATTGGTTTACGCCGATACAGACAGTATGAAAGTAGGTACCCAAGCCGAACTGAATAGTCTCATCGTACGAAAGCTGCACAACAACCCATCGTTTATTCCGACATTTAATGATCTGTACCATGGTTCATATACTTCTGCGGATGTCTCTGAGGTGGATGGGTTACCCGTCGTTGATACGTAAGTATTAGTACTTATGCGCAAAAGACATGAGATTTACTGACATTTCCAGTTATCTGGCTGAGCGAGTAATGTCACTCAATGGCTTCGGCTGCCCGGTCTCCTCCCGTACAGCACACATATGCAGGACCAATGCAGACAATGGGGACCTTGATACAGATAATGAACGATTTGATTCCAGTGGAATCTGGCGTCTTGCATCTTACGTAAATCACTGCTGTTATCCGAACACATACCGTGCATTCATAGGAGATATGATGGTACTTCGCGCTACACAGGATCTTCCCGCAGACACAGAGCTCAAATTCTGCTATCGAACACCCGTTGATGACGGTACAGCAGAAAATGTATATCAGAAATATTGGGGATTCCACTGTGACTGCGCAATCTGTCATGATGTGCGCGAAACAGGGGAAGCTGGTTTGGCGAAGCGACGAGAACTCATGGCTGCTTCGGACTCATCCATGAATTACATAGCTAACGCCTACAAGTCCTCGTTCAGTCTTCAAGAGCAGACTGCTGCAATCACCATGACAGAAGCCGCAATTGCTATGATTGAGCAAACGTATCGGCGATCACCTTTGGAAGTGCCTCGTCTTGGGATCTGTAAAACAGGGCTATTTTTAGCAGAGGTGCACGCCACCCATGGCCGTTGGCGGAAAGCTATTGGATATGCTATCAGAACGCTGGAATCACTCGGCTACGTGATCGAAGGCTGGCAAATTCCGTATAAAACAGGTAGGCAGTTGCGTGTCACGCGATGGGGACTGGCAATGGACGTGCTTGTTCGGTGCTGGATGATCCTTTGCTGCACTTATGGCGAGGTGGCACCTGAGCTTGCTGACCACGCTGAATACTACGCTAGAACGACGTACAAAATATGCATTGGTGAGGATGAGACATTTGGGGATACCTATAATCGGTACTGCGGCCGAGTCGATGGAATGGTCGTGCACAGTAGTTGAGTCCACAAGATTTGTGCTCCTGTTACAGTTGGTATTTTCCGGGTCTTTTTCTCCATATCGCTTTCCTACAATTGCTTTTGCCATCGCGTTAGTCTATCTATCAAACTGAACATGATCTCCATAATATTGAAATCATATAATTGATGACCCACTGTACAGATGTAACTTCGGCTAGAACTGACATTAGTGTACTACATAAACATATCGATAAGCCGTAGAAACTTTCGGGATCGAGCCAGGGTGCCTCTTCGTCGCACACTCGACTCTACACTTTTTTCATTACTAAACAGGCAATTCATCAAGAAGTCTACATCAGTCAACGCCAAGCTTCATCGAAGCCTGACATGTAAACAGAAAATGGACCAAGGACGGAGAGGATAATAGAGAAACCAGGCGACTCTCTTGGATGCTACTATGCACGAAGGGGCAATTTGGCCTCTTCACGTAACTGGTTTGTGGCATGGAGATCAATATACATCAATGAACACATAACAGAACGAGTGACACTTAAGTTCTTGGAATTTAAAACTGTATTGATATATATGCACTCCACTAATTCCATCCATTCGGTTATCCCGAAAATGGCTCGCAGCTGAGACACTACTGCCTCAGGCATCACTCACTGGCTTTGGGCCGTGGCCATAGAAATATATGGAATTTTGAATCCCATCTCCCTAAAGCATAATTTAGGACCCCCCGTCCCCCCCAATGAGATCAGTAATCACCGAGAAATCCTACAGGTTAATGCTTACGCTTAACGACATCCAGTAATATCGTTGGGTAAACCCGGGGATCGGCGATCCGGGTGTACTTCTCCGCATGAGCGCTGAAACATACCCTGTCAGATCGTACAGGGATCAGAACCTCGCTACTAATTGCGCTACACAAGATGATTCATTACCAAAACATATGACATGAGCTAGGTAATGGGCTTTTCCGTGGGCCGAGGAGCTCACAAGGCTGACACAAGGACACGCAGACCGTGCTTTGTCCTCTGTCATCCATCATTCATCATTCAGGGAACACACCCCCACGAACCAATTCAACTGAATCGTTCCTGATTTAATCTTTCAAACTCCCTTATAAATTCAGGGCTCTGAGGAAAAGGAACTATGGCTCTTTCTGCAGGGAACGCCAACCTTTCTCTGACGGAGCAATTGAGTGTGCCACCTAAAGCATCACTGCAAATACTCGGAACACACAATGTCAATAAAGACAACAATATTATTGATTTTGATATCTGGGTTCACTGTCCAAATGCAATCGGTATAAGATCGGCCAAGTTCCTGACAGAAAATGATGTCGAATCTCGCTGTTGGAGCTATTCCGATGACCGCGATAACGGCGACCCCAAAGATATATTGGGCGGATGGCTTGATGACTGGTTAGACCATGATGATGCAGACGATCGAAGGTTAGTTCTTTTGGATGACCCAGTCCATTTGCCTCGTCTTATACTGACAAAGTCATGTCGGTTCTCAGATGGAGTCTTCACAAATCAGGTCATTTTCTAAATGGGGATTGCACTGCTCTCGGAACTCATATCGAGCGCCTGGCACAGAAGACCGCCTATGGCGGTACTGTCGAGGTGTCGTTCCATACCCCCTCAATACAATTGGACGCAGGATATAATTCCTCAGCCGAGATGGGACACATTGCACAAATCTTTCTAGAATGGGCCTTTGAGTGCCCCTTCACCCCAACCGACCAGGCATGGAGCGACCTAGTCAAGAACGCGATGGTAGACCATAAGAAGGGCTGGATCGAGCCACATGCACCACGGGCTTCGCACGGAATGTCTCCTTTTCGGAGAGCAATGAGAGCCAACGGTACTACCCGTGTTGTATCGCGAGAGCAGAATGCGAACGGGGTAACGTACTCAGTAAGGCAGTTCTCTTCCTGGGGTGGTGACAGTTCCGCGTAAGGAGGCGGATGCTTGCATTACTAGTGTCAAAAGTCACATCGATCTGCTCTGGCTTTGCTTAGTTGGACCTGCTGCTATTTGAATTCTTTCGGGATCTTATACTGTGGCCTTCGGTTCGTCAATGTTGATAGATTGACTTACTTGTTGTGAAGTTCCACTGTCGAGGGCATCTATGTCCCGATGAGTCTCTTCTGCCAAGGAGGTTGTACCATAGAAAATGTTGTGGGGTGAGCTACACAAGTTCATGATCACCCAACCAGTGCGGGAGATGTCAATTTGCTCATATGTATCTCGTAACTACGCACTTCCAATAGGGTTTGCGGGTTGTTGTATCCATGGTTGAGGTCGGGTCCCCACGACCGATGAGATCATAGACTCTGGCGGATAGTATATACGGGCCGGGATGAATAGCGGACATGAAGCCAATCCTACCTTCATATGCGCATTTTACGACTCATCAACCTTCACATCTTCTCTGTCGTATGCCGCCTCTTATATTGAGTCACCCATCATGCATGATTACCTTGGCCATCCTCTGGGGCTAGTGGGTTGGTTTGCCCGGACGATCCAAGCCATCAGCTCGATCATCGTCCTGGGAATTACAGCCTGGGCTGTGAGTGAGGACAACAAGACTCTCAGTGTTATTTTCTCACTTGTCATTGTAAGTGGTCTGTTGAGGTACTTTTTTTTTAAGGTCTTATTCTCACCTTGGTACAGGCTACAACGAGTCTAGTCGTCATAGCTGTAGCTGTAGGCATCAGCTGCTTAGCACGTCGGGCCAAGTGGCACATTATCCCACTACTTGTCACCGATGCAATCATATCCTACCTGTAAGTAGTATTCTGATACTAGAGCTAGGCCAGTTGAGGGTCAATGCTGATCACTATAGGTGGCTCACCTCGTTCATCCTGCTCGCTCTGAACTTCAACCGCAGGACCTGTCGCGTGAACCGCTGGATTGGAGAAGTATCTTGCTCCCGAAGCTATACTGCCGAGGCATTTAGTTTCATTGCATTGTAAGTGACTCGAAAACGTCCGCTGAATTCTCATTGCTGACTCGTGACAGTTTTACTACTCTCATGGGCCTATTCTTGGAGACCGCCTACATTTACTGGGCGAAGCCTGATAGTGTGCCACGAACAGAAAAGCGGCTACATCAAGAACGCCTTTCTGAAAACCTCAATGCGGCTGGCCTGACATAAGGGCTGTTTTACAAGTGCCTATCGGCGAAGTCTCGTGCAGCGGCTGCCCCACACCACTTCCTCATGATATTTATTACTACTATATTTACGTCCTCGAACCATTATTGACATATTGAATGTTTGCTAGGGACTGGACTTTATGGTCCGGTCAATTCGCTCTCCCTGATATGTTGTCAGCCTCCTCGGCTGTTTTGCCACGCTCTCTTCCCATTGCACATTGTTTGTAACTTCACATTCGCTATGAGAAGATATCATCTATTTGATCGGAAACAAACCCAGTTCACTGCAAAGTAGACACATACCCAGGTACTCTTAAATACACACACTTTCCACTATGTAGTCCTTGTAATCCTTTAGAAGTCGTCCATCCACTTGGTTATCCATCCTCACGGCCAATGGCGCTATACTACTTGGTTGAGCGCCTCCTTCGTTGATGAGTCTCTACCTCGAGATCATTAGTATACTTCAGAACCTAGATCACTCGGACGGGTAAAGGAATCCTCACCAGAGATCGAAGCGACAGTATCCTTGAGCCGCATCAATGCTCAGATCACAATATGTGCAACAGTCTTTACAGCCTTCCCATGTGCAGCAGTATTCACCCACCACGCTACAAGAATCATCTCGCTGTTCTAGTGGAATACTCGCTGCTGCGACATAGCCAGCGACGGTAGAGATTGCGATAAAGAGTGATAATTTCATATTGAAAGCCGTTTAGATTGAGCGGCTCAAGACAAGAATCGAGTATACCAGCGAGATGTTCTCGAGAAGTACTTCATAAATTTCAGAATGGTTGGAGATTCGATCCTGATACATCATTGCTCCTCTTTATACCTTTTGATGTTCGTCCAGTGAGCCAAAACCAACAAAAGCAAAGTTGTTCAGCGGTGTGATCAACGTACATCTGACCCAAACCCGAGGGACGGTGATCCGTGCATTACTCTCCAGCCTAATAGGGAATAGTCTTTTTAGTGATCGGCAATGAGCTGAAAGTGACTTGTTCTTACTCACGAGTAGGAAGTAGGGATGTACAGACCAATGCATTGCATATCCTCAGCCGCATAAGAGACCGAGCTAGTCCGGATGGAGACGTAGATCCCAAAAGGTACCACAGCGAACACTGTTATTCTCCAATCAACACATCATGTTTATGGCAGTTCAGATCCCGAATCTCTGTTCAATTCCGAGCCATCCGGTCCACGCCTGACCCAGCCATGATCATTGACTTTTCTAATAACAGGGAATCCTCCTGGCTAATACGTACCAGTCAATCCATTAAAACCAATCAGCAAATGAGTGAGGCTGGACATGGCATCGGGATTGGGCACTCAAGATTTGGCCTCATTGTTGGATAGGACAGACCTGCATAGATCATGGTTAGTCAGAATGCAGATCTCTTCTGGTTGCCCTCACACATCATCCATGTTTACTCCCATTATCCGATGGGCCACTGTCAGAGGGCCTATAGACAGAGCATTCTGTGATGAAATATCCCAAACTAGAATACATTGATACATCCTGCATATCACGCAATTCTTCATCCGATGTCCCCTCTCCGATCTTATGAGTTTCTCCGCTCCCGTCGAACCCAAACAAGTGCTTCCCCATGCCCCACTCCATTGCTTATTCTAAGTTGCTGCACGCTCTACGCAGCACTGAACCACTGCGTGGGGTATGCGCACCACGCTATTAGCGGTACCCTTTGTACAAAACAACCTCTATTGTCTCATTTATGGTGTCTGGTAACGGACATCCCCGAAACTCCTGTAACCCTTCAAATGTACCCTTCAGGTTTACCGATAAACATTATTAGCATCGGCCACGAACACCGTGTTGGATCAAAGGTAGGACTTAGGTCTGAGCGGGGGTGATTACTAGTTACAGTAATGGCTCGTCGTCCTGCAGTTAGCCAATGTGGACTCCATGCAATCCTTGGTCACACTACCCTAGAGGTGTAGGTCAAGCAGAATTAGTATCTCCTACTCCGTTATCGCAAACTATGCGATCAGCATAACCCACCATAACAAACCTAACAAATTCAACTACGTATGGATGGGACACGGATAACCAATAGATATCTTGATAACTCAAGAAGATTCTTCTTCCAATTAACAGTCAAATATACATGATTTTCAAGCAAACAGCCATAATGAGCAAGGCCTTGCTGGAAGTCCGCCAGCCATCCGTACGAAAATAACCACGATACAGGCCGGGCTATCATTGAACTAAGCAACAAGCAACGCAAGGGCAGATCCTATGAGATCTTACACTAAGCCACTTCAACCCCGCACGCTTAACCTGTTATCGCAATCGACCCTTCATGGGATGATTGGCTATCCTCAACGATACCCGAGGACGGATCGTCCAGTGCATACCTTGCTCTCCGGGCATCACACACATCCCAGTCAAGAAGCAAACATGTCCATCATCAATGCGAGCGTGGACAGCCCTACTAATTTCAAGCACACATAAGGAACCCCAATGACCCCCATCAATCCTTCTCCTTCATCGAGACTACGGTAATCTACTCACCCATATCTGCCTACTATTCCTATATTGATCTATATCCATCCCCAAGATGAAGTTCGTCAGTCTTTTCGCATTCACCACTGCCATTGGAATGGTGACTGCGGCTCGCGTTCCGATAGGTGACCGCCAATTTCTCGCTAGATTATATGTTCCTCCTCAAGGTGGTAGGTGATTTCCTCTTTCTCACCACCAAGATCGTCTCAGCTAACTGGAGTGTAGAGGGCGAGGACTGCCGAGTGCACACTGGCGAGTACTGTTGCACATGGGAGGGTTGTCGATCATGCTGCTGGTGGGAGAAATGTGATCTGAGCATCGATGCTGCGCAGGGCAAGTGCGTGCCGAACTGGTGAGATATTAGTCGAACTGTAAGTTCTCCATATTGAATCAATATTACTTCTGTCAAGGCTTCGGGCCACGGTCGCTGATGTGTTGGATAGGTGACTATTCGAAATGATAGGGGTGGTGTCTCTTGTCAGCTATCAGGGTTGGTGGGTTTGGGTTGTGGTGGCGCTCATCTTTGACTCGATTTGCTGCCATGTATGCAATGATATCTGACTCCACACCGCCATTATGAATATCATAGTTAAAAGCTTTTATCAAAATTCTCTTCTCGATAACTTGCGCTGGAGACGTCTATGATTTTTTTAGGTACGTCCTACATTATGTAGGACCGGGCGTAAGTCTGGTCGGGCTTTAACTGAGGCAATTGTGCCGTACATGCTGTGCAAACACTAGAAAATGCTGTCTTCATGCCGGCATGGCTAGATTGACAGATGGCTGAGACATATGTTAGAAGGTCTCTTCTTTCTATTCGGTGCCGATAGACTACTAGATAATACTAAAAAATTCTGGACTACTTCGATGTAACCCTGGCAGAATATGATTGAATATTTCTAGTACCGTCCATGCGATGCTGAACTGCTCGAGTATGTATTTGTATCAAATACCTCGAAGCTCGCAGTCCTCACTGCTTTCCATAACATATTTGTGGTAGTGGTTCTGAGCCTCACAGAACGGAAACCGGAAAACGGATCTCTGCAACTATTTTTATGGCAGCTAAACAGTAGCAGGATCATGGTAAGATCTAGCAAAAAATGGTGGCTGTTACACGCCTCACAAATTTGTGTTTCTAGATGGGGCGAAATTTCATCAACAGACGATATTATTGGTCCGAGCGTGAAACAAGAGCGGCACTATGCCTGTCATGGGAAAGTACGGGCGGCTGCCTAAGATAATCTATTCTTGGCACTGCTCGTATATTTCGAAGGATTGCCAAGCATCCTGCCAGATCCCCAGAACTCGAGATCATGGCCAGGATATGCTCTTATTTGTCTGTCTTGCAAGGATAAAACTTGATTAAGTTAGGTTTTTTTTATCAGTTGCATGTCTGCCTGAATTTGAGGCTCTGTTGGGTGCTCAATGAGGTGTATTTAGACCTAGATCGTGCCGCATATCGGCCAGTACATCAGATATCGAAAATAAGAAACTCAATCAAGAATTGAGGATTGTGACAAAGCCTCGCTAGTCTGTCACCATGAGCACAACTACAGCTTCAATTTCTACAACCACCAGTGTTCCGGCATCAACCCAAACATGCACCAACCCCAAACCAGGGAAGAATGGCTACCTTCCTCCAGAGGCTTGTGACGATATCCTCCTCTACGTTCCCTCTCTAGCTGCCGCAGTACTATTCTGCGTTCTATACGGTCTAACCTTCATATGCCACGGGGTACAAGCATTCCTCTACAAGAAGGTAGACCAGTTTCTCATACAAACCCTCACTCCAACCGACTAACAACCACCTACAGCGCTATGCCTGGGTCATCATGATGGGCGCAACATGGGAACTAATCGCATTCATATTCCGCGCCCTCCTCACTCGACAACAAAACAACTCCAACTACGACACCGTCTACACCATCATGTTTCTCCTCGCTCCTCTCTGTCCGTCTCGCCTCTTCCATCCCTCCACTTTTCATCACCCACTAATTAACCTCAGGGATCAACGCCTTCCTCTACATGACCCTCGGCCGACTCATCTACTTCTTCACCCCGGACCAAAAACTCGCCGGCATCACCGCCCGCCGCTACGGCCGACTCTTCGTTTGGCTCGACATATTCGCCTTCCTTGTGCAACTCGGCGGCGCAGCCATCACCACCCAGACAGACGTACCGACCAGCACAATAATGCTAGGCGTGCATATCTACATGGGTGGTATCGGACTACAGGAGTTATTCGTCCTCATCTTCACCGGCTTGATCATCCATCTCCATCGAAAACTCATTCACCTTGAGCGGGCAGGGATATTAAGTCCGGGCGGTTTGGCAGGCATGAGCATTACCACAAGCAGAAATAAAGCTATGCCATGGCGGTGGTTATTCTACGTGATGTATGCTGCGTTGGGGATGATCACTGTACGTCCATCCCACATCCACCGTACCGGTTCCAGGGAGAACATCTAAATACTAATGAGTATTGTCCGGTGAACTAGATCCGAATCATCTTCCGACTCTGCCAATACGCACAAGGCACGGACCCGAGTAATCCCGTGCTGACGCACGAAGCATACGAGTATGTGTTCGACGCGGTGCCGATGTTCATTGCGCTGGTCATGTTGAATGTGGTTCATCCAGGGCGGGTGTTGCAGGGGCCGGAGTCGGAGTTTCCGAGGGTGAGTCGGGCGGAGAAGAAGAGTTTGAAGAGGGAGAAGAAGCAGGCGAAGAGGGAGAGGAAGGAGGCAAAGAGGGTGGAGAAAGAGATGAGGAAGGGAGGTCAGAGCGGGTGGTGGTGGAACAGGGGGAGGGAGAGGGGGAGTGAGACGTTTGAGATTCTTCCGGTGCAGGAGGGTGTAGAGGGGAGGGTTTAGTTGATGTTGGGCATTTGCGGTGTGTGTTATGTAGAAGTTTATATTTGACATGTGGCATATAGTGATAGCGATAGAATGATTTGAAATATACAATCCTCGTGTCTGAGCTGATGACAGGTCTCCGCCAGTTGGTCGACATAATCATATCAAGTGAAAGAGAGTAAGGTGATCAAATACAGGAGTTACATAGTAATCATTCTAAAGTCTATGTACACAATACAACATATTCACAGTCTCTATCAATCATAATGCTCATCTGAAGGTAGTCCACGAACGCAGGCACAAAATTCTTTTACAGGTCGAGATTGAAAACATCACAATCCCTACCGCTCATACCATCCTCAATCAAGTAGCATAATTCGCCGCCAACACCAGAATATCTTCCAGACTCTCTGCACATTCCAAGCCATACGACATGGACAACCTCTCCAACGTCGGCGAAGTAAGCCCCACCGGAGTCTGCGCTTGTGCATTCCTCTCACTCGACCCCCGATCCACAGGCGGCCAACCCTGACTGCCGTCCCGCGAAGCCGTCCGACTCCTCTGCCAGCGACCCTTCTCACAGAAGCTCCGAATCACTCCCACCAGATCCAAGTCCCGATCTGCGTCCTGCTCTGGTGACGGTAGATGCTTGGGACTACTCCGGTCGCGCTCTCTCGCTAGCAACGCCTCTAGGAGATGCACGCCCCGTCGGGCGATCATGTTCGATTCATTGTGCGAGAGGATCTCCAAGCCGTCGTTGATGAGTTGGCGGTGGTAGGTTGTTTCTGGGTCTGAGGTGGAGCGGTGGAAAAGGTCGAGACATAATATTATCTGTTTTTATTAGCCAATTGAGAAGTAGGTGAGGGTGGAAAGTGAATGCGTACGCTAGCAGCAACACTAAAAGCCTGGTGGATCCAAAGCACCGGTCCGCCGTCATGGATCGCCTCCTTCTGTTCCTTGATGATTGTCCGCGCCGCAGCAACGCACGTGCGACGCGTCCTAGCAAACACAGGATTTGTGAAGCTTAACTCGAGGAACTTTCGATGGATCATGATAATCTTGTGCGATGAGCTGATCGCCAAGCTATGTCTCGCCCAAAGGACATATCTCGGCCACTCTGGATGTTCCTCGACAGGTACATTCCTCAAGTAGAGTGGAAGACCCTGTGTAGCCAAGCTGCGCAGTTTACGATCATGTTCCAAAACCTTCTCATATCGCGTATACAGGGTATTCGACGTAGCCATACTGTCCTGCAACGACGGCATAAGCGCCGCGACTTGGTAAAAGAACCTTGAGTATCCTGCGACACTTGGGTCATCATCAGGTAGCTTCAGCATGTCCTCATCGCGGCAGTTCCGCGGGCGGGCAGTATTCAGGCACGTCCGTGGGATAAGATAGCTCTCTGAGAAGGGAATGGAGAACCAGTCTTGGATGCAAAGCTGACACCAGGCACGACGACCAATTTCGCGATCAATCATGGCCGGCGAGGGTTCTGTTTCACGTTCCGAGCCGAGACGGTGTAGTCCCAGGCCTTGGGCAATACGGGTAGCGGCTGCGAGCAGGACGGAGAGGCTATTAGAGAAGCCGAGGAGATGAGCCGACATGGTTAGTGTTGCAATGGCCTGGACGGCATATAGGGAGTGGACGGCGGTGAAGTCGGCGTGGTGTAGACACGTCGAGACGGCTTTGAACCATCGCTGCGCTAGAGTGGTCTGCTCCCATTCGGAAAAGCCCCATGCCTGAGCAGTCATGCGAGGAGCGCAGGCGAGGGCGCCGGTAAGGACAGAGAAGAGAAGAGCGACCCATTGCAGGTCGACGCGAGGATGGGCGATGTGACCATTGGCGAAGCGGAAGAAGTCGTCAAGTTCGTCTTGTAGACGAAGGGAGTGAAAGGAGCCGTGATACCAAAGCACGCAGTCGCAATGGTAGGAGACGAGCTGCTGCATAAGCTCGCGGTCTGGGAGGAGGAGCTGGAGATACGCCAGAGCGGAGGAAACTTCGGGGTTCCGGTCATCGCCGCTGCCTTCGGCCGTCACGTCGCCAGGGGAATGATGCTCGACACCATCTCTACGAGCTAGCATGTCGTGATAGTCCGGGTTCTTCCGTCGGCCCCATGCGAGGAACTCGAGGATGGTGGCGGCGTCCGCCATTTCACGTTCGGGGGTCTCCACCGTATCGGAGACAGGGGTATTGCTGGCATTGGAGATGACCTCAGATTTGGGTCGAGAATTAGGTTGCAATTGTGGATCAGTCGACTCTCTCAGGGCAGCCTCAAGCTCCTGCACGCGAGCTTGTAATCTCTCCACCTCATCGTCGCTACCTCTGGCACGAGAACAAGTAATGCCTCTGTCGGAGTCAGCCGCTGTCAAGAGCAAATTCGGGGAAGCTCACCTCCTGGTGCAATTGCGACATGGGACAACTTTATCACAGCGGATTTTGCGCCGGGTGCACTCCACACAGGCCAGGCGTCGACGGATGGAGCTCATGATGGGGAGAAAGTGGTTTGTTGTTCGGCCGGGTTGGGGTTGGACCAGTCACTGATTGATAAGGCGGGGAAACGGCCGACATCGCAGTTCCCCGCTGATAAGCTCGGCCGAGCTGACGCTCTTAGCTTCATCGCTTATAACTATACCCTCATCAACAACATCATAGCATCACCATCAAGCTGCATTCAGTCTATAATCATGGCAACAAGATACGTTGACCGTCCTATCCCTCGCATCTCGCTGCGCGACTTCGACCAGCGCATCGATGAAATCACGGCCGAACTCGTCAACGCCGCTGAGAACGTGGGCTTCTTCACCCTAGTTGACCATGGCATTTCCGTCTCCGAAATCGAGAACATGTTTTCCACTGCACAGCGCTTCTTCTCCCTCCCCGACGACATCAAAGCCACTGTGCCATGGAACGCCAACAACGTAGGATGGGAGAAGAAAGCCCAAATACGGCCCTCGACGGGCCAACCCGATACCAAAGAGTCCTGACAGCTGCAGTTCGGGGAGAACATGACCGACCTGTGGATGAGCGATGCACATCTTCCTGGATTCAAAGACACATCCCTCGCATTCATGCACCGCGTACAGAAAGTCTCTGAGCGCTTAATGGTCTGTTTCGCGCGCGGCCTCGGCTTCCCGGATGACTTCTTCATCAAATGCCACGATGTATCGCGACCGAACGAACAAACCACCATGCGACTACTACATTACTACGCTCTACCAGACCAACCTGACGGGAAGACCTACCACCGGGCTGGAGCACATGCAGACTGGGATTTCTTGACCCTCCTATTTCAAAAGGAAGGCCAGAGCGGGCTGGAGATCTGCCCCGGACGAGAAGTCGTGACAGAGTTTGGGATCGGCGATGAATGGACACAAGTGGAGGCACATACTGGAGATATAGTGTGTAATATTGGGGACTTGCTGATGTCGTGGTCGGATGATCGGTTCAAGTCCACGTTTCATCGCGTCAAGGCGCCGTCCGAACCAGGTGATTATTTCGGCGATCGATATAGTATCGCGTACTTCAATCAGCCGTGCAAGGACGCGCTAATCCAAGGGCCGAAGAAGAAGTATCCTCTTGTTACCGGGGAGCAGTTTAATGCGAATGCGATGAAGAGAAACTTTGCGGCGTTGCAGGAGAAGTTGAAGTTGATGGAGCAGGCTGCTTGATTGTTTTCTGTACTTAACGAGATAACTACAATTCTACATCGAGAATTCATTGCCTTGTGTTTTATTATTGAACTATTTTGCTGTATCTGGTAATGTGCAAACTCGTCCATGATAAATAAGAGATTATTGTACTAAAAGGTGACAAAAGACTAAGGCAGCACTGTATCCACTTTCTCATCCTCCTTCAACACCAGATTTAGCACCACACCCACGACCGCAGCAATAATAAAAGGCGTCTCAACAATGAGGTTAATCCCCTGTTCAAACCCCTGCAAATGCACATTAGGCCCGCTATACGCCAACACGGAACTGAACCAGCTCGGCGACACAATATCCATCATGCCGATCCCCAGCGATGCAGTAAGAATAAATCTATTGCGTCGATTGAAATCCACGAGACCAAGAACGCGCGCACCAGCCACCACGATTGTGCTATACAGGAACACCTGCATTCCTCCGAGCACAGAAGGGGGCATGGATCCGAAGACAGCGCCGAATTTACCAAAGATGCCCATCAGAAGGAGGAAGGCAGAGGCACACCATCCTGCTCGTCGGCTCTATATCCATGTGTCAGCACTGTAGCGGCAAAGAAAATAGGGGAAATACATACAGCACATCCAGTCAACGAAATAACCCCATTATTTCCCGCCTGACTAACCATCGGCAAGCCGGTGCCCAACGCACTGATCAGACTTCCTAGTCCATCACACAGGATCCCGCCCTGAATGCGACTATGAAACTCCCGTCCCTCGATGTCGACGCGGGAAATCTCCGCCGTGGCCAGGATATCCGGCATGCAACTGACAGCCTCGCAGACGAACATGATAAGAAGCGGGAGAATAAGAGCCCCGTCAACAGATAATGGGAAGGTGTGTACCCATAGAAAGGTGCCCACGGGCGCAGCGTCGATCTCGTCGCGAGACCAATAGCCTGTTGCGCCGGAAATGGCACAGCCAACCGCTAGACCTAGGATGACTGAGGCGGACTTCATGAGTGGGGAGCCAACGAACTCGACAAATATGATGGTCGCGAAGACGCTGAAGCCGAGGCCGATTAACTTCGGGTCACCCCTGCAATTATTAGCATTGTACATGGAATATATGGATGGGAACATACCATGGCAGCGGCCTTGGAGCATCCACATTAGGACAGAGGGCATAATACCCAGTCCCACCATCACAGTTTGAGCTCCCACCCCAGTTCTCCATTCCACTCGAGATAAGATATACGCCGACCAACAGAAGGAGACTCCCCGTTACCACCTTAGGGAAGATGCGATTCAGCACCTTTGGAGGTACTAGGGACATAAGGATCTGGATCCAGACTGTACACAAACAGGTACCTAGCACGGCACCCCATGCTTCGGGACACGGGAGACGCGATCCGTTCTCGTCTGTCGGGCATGAACCGTTGGTGTACCTGGTATCTGCGTAGTTCATGGCAACGGCGATGACATCGAATGTGGGGCCGACTACAGATAGCAGTCCTGTGCCAATGTATAATGGTGTTTTGAAGAGGTGTATCCGTGTTACCTGCAATGCTGTGGCGATGCCGGTAGTGATGAATGCTGCAGAGACGAGGTACTGCGATTGTACGGAATTCAGATAGAAGGCACCGCTTGCCAGCGCTAGAGGTGGAGAAACCACGGAGCCGATCATCGTTAGGGCGTGTTGCAGTCCCAAGATGATGGTTAGTAAGATTGGCACCTCATCATTGAGGCCATAGAAGGGCGGTTCAGCGCCTTTGTAGCGCTTATTGAGAGGGTAAATATTCGGTGTAATCAGGTACATGTAGTCCTTCAATGCGTTAGTAGAGCCACCAGGAGGGTAAGTAAACACATACATAGTCACCGACCCAGCCACCTCTACTAGTCAGATAGTGTTTCCAGTATCCCCACTTCGATGAAGCGTGGAGAACTTCCCCAGTTGTGTGGGACGGGGACTCTTCAGTGGAGATAGGGCTAGACTTGGACTCCATAGCGGATCTTGGGGGGGAAAATATCGGTCCCATCAACTGATCCAGCAGACCCAGCTCATCTTGTATAATTTTTCTATATCTCCCCGATAACGGTGCTATCAGATAACGATAAGCCATGCATGGGCAAAATGGCTAGCTCCTCGGCCGAGGGCTGCTTATCGTGATCGACAGTATTGAATGTCCCCACCAGAGCTACAAGAGCTCCTTCCACTCTTCTTCTGTCCGTTCCAACATCAGTCACATTCAAGATGACCTCAACACCTCCCAAAGAAACATTATTTACGCACGCCACAATCATAACCATCAACCCCGACCGTGCCATAATCCGCGATGGGTACCTCCTCGTGCGCGACACCCGCATCGCCGCTATCGGGGCATTTCCCGTCCCCGCCGACCTTCTCACTTCAGGCATAACCACCATCGACTGCACCAGCAAGATCATCCTCCCAGGACTGATCAACATCCACGCACATCTAGTACAGTCCCTTCTCCGCGGACTAGCCGAAGACCTCCCCCTCCACAACTGGCTCTGCGACGCAATCTGGCCCCTCGAGGCATCTTACGCAGACAAAGATGGCTACCATGCTGCGCGCCTCACCATCGCGGAGATGCTCAAGACAGGAACGACATGTTTCTTGGACCCCATGGTGACTTATCGAGCGGGATGGGAGAGTGTCTGTGATGCTGTGGGGGAATTAGGAATTAGAGGGTGCTTGGTAAACACACCTAACCTTTCCACTCCGTTATATTCCAAGAATAATATTAACAAGTCACGATCGTGATAGGGCAAACTCATCAAGTTCCCCGAAACCAATCGCCAACTATCCATCACCGACCCACGCGACCAGGACCTCCTCGCCATGTCTATTCCCGGTCTGCTCTCCGCCCATGAAACCCACCACGGCACGTACAATAACCGACTGCACGTGTGGGCCGCTGCTGGGACCCCCCGGGGCGCACCAGCCTCACTATACCACGAGCTAGGAGAAACATGTGCATCGCACGGCATCTCACTAACCATGCACTGTGCCGAAGCACCCCGAGACCGAGAGATCTACCATGATGTGTACGGCTGCAGCGCGATGGAATTCATCCGGGATACGGAACTCTGTCCTAGACTCCAAGAAAAACAAAGCAAAAGTCACAATCTCGTGCTAGCACATATGGTCAATCTGGACGTTGAGACAGATTTACCACTTCTAAGTGCAACGCATACATCGGTAGCGCATAACCCGAGCTCTAATCTGAAACTGGCATCCGGGGTGGCGCCGATACCAGCGATGCTGGGGTACGAGCATGGTATTAATGTGGGACTAGGGACAGATGGCGCGCCGTGTTCGAACCACTACGATATGTTCCAGGAAATGCATTTAGCTGCGATTCTGCATAAGGGGGTTTGTCGCGATGCGAGGGTGGTCGGGGCGGAGACAGTGCTAGAAATGGCGACGATTAATGGAGCTAAGGCGCTGGGGCTGGAAGATGAGATTGGGAGTTTGGAGGTGGGTAAGAAGGCGGATCTGGTGGTCGTGGATCCGTATGGCAGGGGAGGGGTGGGTGCTGCGCCGTGGCATTGGGATGATGAGGATGGGGCGAGCGTTGTTACGACAGTGGTTCATGGGTGTACAGGTAGGGATGTAGATTTGACGATGGTCGATGGGGAGGTTTTGGTTGCGGGTGGGAAGTTGGTGTGTGGACTGGAGGGGGAGATTATTTCGCAGGCGCAGAAGGCTAGTCGGGGGGTCAGGGCGAGGTGTAGAAGCAGGATGGAGTCAAATTCCTGATATTCTGGGTGTCTATATTTGAAGTCATATATGAAATAAGGTTTCCCTCACTTATGCGGGCCCTCATTGAAGAAGACCACCTGCACGGTCACATCGTCTCTCACTCGCCGAGAAGCCGGAAAGCTGAAAGCAAGCCGACCAGATATCATCTCATGATGATTGCCTCCAAGGGAATTGCGCACCAAATGCACAGCAGCATTGTCATCCTGGACTGCTGTCCGTTCCTCCACAAATTGCCAATCCACTTCATCCCAAAACTGGCTGAAATCAAACCTCCCAGGAGACTCCAACCTGCTGCTCCTCTCAGCTACAGCTGCTCCCTCCAACCACTTCCCCACCAAGTCAACAGCCTGCTGACTAGACATCATATCCCACAGCCCATCGGTCGCCATGATCAGGAACGCCGGTTCTCCATCCCCAATCTTAGTACTAGTAACCACCGGCTCAGCCGTCAAATATGGCGGCGTGCGAACCGGATACCTCGGCGTCAACGGCGCCGGACCATAGAACCTCTTCTGCACGTCGTTCTGAAACTCCAATGGCCATTTCCACTGACAATCGCCAAAAGCACGAGAAACTGCCAGACCCAGCACGCGACCACCCTTGACCACCTCATCTTCATCAGGATGTTCCGCACGAAGCCTCGCAATCTCATCTTCATTCTTACCAGTCTGATCCACAGACAGAGGAACAGCCTCCCATCCCCCATCTGCTCGTTTCCTAGCCAGCACCGCGCGTGAATCACCAGTACATGCAACATGCAACATGCGCGAGACGGGGTCATACAACGACAGCAAAGCACAAGAGCCCGCATACGCAGGAGCCAGTCTCTTCACCTTCTCTGCCAACGGCATCTCACTCTCCGACAACTCCATCGCACCCTTAACAATCGAATCATCAAGACACACAAACCCATCCATAATCGCCCGATGGACCGCCTCTTCACCCACATCACCTCCAGCAGAACCCAAAAACCCCAATCGATCCCGCACAACCCCCACCAACCTCTCCCTCAACACCTCAGCCATCTGCCCGCCCAAATGCCCATCAAACACCCCCCACGCCATCCACTGCCCATTACTATTATTATGACCACCCCACGGCGCCGCAAACCTCCCATGCACAAACCGGTCCTCGCACGGGTCATTAGACCCCACCTGCACGCCATCGTATCTGCTCACGCCGGGGACATTCCTCACGGGAAAGGAGTACGCATCGTGCGATATCAGCCGCGTTACTTCT